CTAAAATGTCATCAAAACAGGTAAATTCTCCGTCCTTCATCAACACCTTAAATATTTCCAGTTGAACATTCAATGTTCTAACATTAACAGCCCAAAAAGTAGGGGGGCTAAAGCCCCCCCAGCCCCACCCTGCGCGATACGGATACCGTCGATATTGTGGGTCGTTTCTGTGGAAATTAAAGAAAAATTATCCGTTTTTGGATACATTGTTTCATTTCTTAATGAAAAATCCTTATGATCCGAATTTTTGATCTGATCTCGGATTTTAGTAACGAAACGCGCCCTAAATTTACATTCCACACTCGTAACGTGAGCTTGAAACGCCTGTGGTTTGATAATTTACGGTATTCTTATTGTGAAAATCTGTAGTCAATAATTTTACAATTTTATACCTGCACTAAATCATCGTAGCCAGACATCATCATTGGCATAACAATTGCGGAGAAGTACTTGGTGGCCATTAGAGCATCCAAACCCATCTCGAAGAAGTGACCGCGATCCCATTCCACTTGCGGGTTATTCTTCAGTTCCTCCTGCTTGTCAGCGTCCAGCTGGCTCCGGGCGAAGGTGTTGAGGTACACTTCATGAAAGCTTCGGTGCCACACCACGACTGGTGTGTTCTTGGCGGTGTTGTTGATTCCGTCTATGATCTCCCTGCTCATATCGCCATGAAAATACTGGTGATATCCCCAAGTTACTAGAGTCTGGTCGGGCTTGGCTTTTGCATTGATCAGATCGTTCAGGCGACTTCGGTATTCCTCTTGGGTCCTTACACCTTTGTACGTACCACTTGGAAGAGTCCAGTCGAACGGGGTGATGAAATCCATTCTCAAAATCAGGGCCGCCATGGAAGGATGAAGATGAGGGTCAATGTGCCCTGGCATCATGGTTCGGCCTTCGAGGTCGAGCTTGGCCGCGTCAGGGAATAAAGCTTCGGCGTTTGCTAGGCTTCCAGTGAAGGCTATTTTACCGTCTTTTTCCACGACAGCTTCGACATACTGCGCCGTCTCTCCAACCATAGTGAGAATACGACCTCCGAAGTAGAGAGTCATTTTGAGTTCAAGCGAAGAACGTTAGCTGATTGCAGACTGGACGTACACACAAGCGTTGTGCAAGTTTTATGCAGCACCTAACTTGCGACCGCAGTTTTTAAACTGCTTGCATCAGCTCCGCCCTCCAATCCGCCCACATATATACAGCCAATCACCCTGCTCCACTTATTAATGACCCTGGCATTTTCTGCTGGATATAATTACATTATTTTAACTGCTGTAAATGCATTGTCATTTAAATAGGAATCAATCACAAAAATAGAACGTTTCCCCGACTTTATAAAGTCATAAAATTTATCTGTTCGGCCCTTTGGGCCCTTTCACAGACCCAAATGACAGATTTCTCTACTCTTTCATATACTACAACGAGTAAAATCCCTACCCTTCCATATACCTGAAGTCTGAAAAAGGTACCCCTTTCGGGCGGAGCCTCCCCGTATAGGCCGTTATAGGGAGTACACCCCGCCCCCCCTTGAAATAGCGAAAAATGTATTAGAAGCTGCTGCAATTAAAAACATACTGTGTGAGAATCAGTTTTGATTACTCTGTCTTTCAAGTGTAGTTAATGAGACCTTGTTTTGGCAACGATAAGAATAAGGAAATAAAGTCTTTTTAAAATACGTGAAATACTCAAATATTTTCGAAGTGTTCAGTGTTGAGAGGGGCGGGCTGCTGTCAGCAAGTTCGGGTGTCTCTTGTTGTTGAGGAAACCATGGCTTGTTCTCTTTTGTGACGTGCTGTGAGGCAAGTTCACGGCTCGTCAAGTTTGCGCTTTTATTTTATATTTGATTTAAACTTTTACTTCGTCTATTTTTTCCTTTTTGATTAAATTGGTTTCTGTTGGTCAGTTACCCGGTCAGTTGCTCCAACTTGATTTGCGTGCTTCTGCAGGCAACCATGCACTGTCTGTAACAAAGTGCCAAATGCTTAGATGGGGCTTCAAACAATTATTCTATTATTTTTTGTTATTGGTTTTAAAATAACTTTTAGAGTTTAATGACTCATCAGCTGTCACTAACACGTAAACCTTACATGAGCTAGATTATGCAACGCTTTTCATGGAATGAAGAACACTTCTCACTGTGTGAGAATCAGTTTCGATTACTCTGTCTTTCAAGTGTTTGTTTGAGTGGCAGCGATAAGAAATATAGGATAATGAGCTTCGAGGCCTTCTTAAAAATAATGACCGAGGGTGCAGCGCCAGGGCGTTATTCGATTTAATGTATCTTTCCATTGCTTTAGAACCAGCAGGTCATTATTGTGGCCACTGAAGCGGTAAGCTATTATTCGTAATAATGACCTCCTGTTCCACTTTAGTGAGCCGCCCTTCCATTTATTGAAAATAATAACCCGTTCAAAACAATGGAAAGGTACTCAAACATACTCGAAGTGTCCATTGTTCAGAGGGGCGGGCTGCTGTCAGCAAGTTCGGGTGTCTCTTGTTGTTGCGGAAACCATGGTTTTGTTCGCTTTTGTGTCGTGCTGTGGGGCAAGTTCACGGCTTGTCAACTTCTTAACAATTAAAGTATTTAAGTTTTATTTTATGTTTCATTTAAACTTTTACTTCGTCTATTTTTGCCTATTTGGTTTAATTCTGGTTTCTGTCGGTCAGTTGCCTGGTCAGTTCCTCCAACTTAGTTTGCGCGCTAGTAAGTGTACGTGCTTCCATGCACCGTCTGTAACAAAGTGCCAAATGCTGGGATGGGGCTTCAAACAATTATTCTATTATTTTTGTTATTGGTTAATAACTTTTGATATTATTTGACCTTTTATAGCTGGAGTTAAACGACTCATCAGCTGTCACCAACACGTAAACTTCGCATGAGCTTTTCTGTTCTTTTCAAAGACTTCGCAGGTTCAAGAGCTTTTTCTGTCAAACAATATTTCTTCACCTCTCGGCGGGGGTCTCTTGACTGCTTCGCTTTGCGAGAAAATTAATTTTAAACATACAGCTACCGTATTTCGAGAATAGCCTGCGAACAGCAGACGTATTCCCGATCGTCGCTCTGTTACCTTTCGGGATTGTCGCGTGCACATTTTTTCCGACAACCTTTCTCGAAATAGCTGTATATAAGTTTTACAAAAACTAACTACTGTCAAGTACGGCGCTTTTGCCCTAAAGAAGTTAGGGCCCTTTCGGTATGACGAAGTCAACTTGTTAGCGAGGACTAGAGAACACGTTAGGGGATAAAATGCGTGAGAGTTATTGGTTCTTGAGTACTTATTTCCTTCCTCACTACTATCAACTTTTCGCACCTACTTAAGAGAAGATCAAATCCAATCACAATTACCTCCCTTTCCTGAGGAAGTACTTCAGCTAATTGTCTTAATTAAGTCTACCAGTTCCGGCCTTTAAGCAGCTACAAGGATTGTCAAATTTGCCATGATTAGCCTCTTACTCCTGGCTAATGTCAAAAATTCAGAAATATTTTTTTTCGTAAAATCCCAAGAGATATATATTACTGTGCAAAAGTTCTGCCATAGAGGTTTCATTTAAATGGTAGTGCTACGTGCAAACGGACGCAACAGCTCCCAACATTGTTGGCGCAGCTATACTTTGACCGGTTTCAAACTGAATTGCGCAACAACTCCCAACAACACGTAACAACATGCGACACGGTGTGCAAAAGGACGCAAAATGTATCATCCAACAATGTTGGGCGTTGGTGGCCAACAATATTGCGTCAGTTTTCACGGGACTTTAGAATAACAAATCACTATGCCGCCACTAGGAGAAAGAGCGTTAAAAACAAACTTTTTTGTTTTATATCTGCCTTAGAGTTTTAAATTTCCTTGTGACTGATTGCATTTGGTGATTCACAATTTTGGTTTTTAAGACAATTTTTTCGTGGGTGCTAATTTACTCATTCACATGCAGGTCACGTCCCTTATTTTATGGAGGGATCTCTTGAACGGTGAAGAGGTCATGTAATAGTTTTTCAGAAAAGAAAAGATGATTTATTAGGTCTATAAACAACCACGATCAGCGAGTCCCGGCTTTTAGGGGTTTTAGGAATTAGATGTAACCAATCATTAAACCGTTTTAGGAATAAAGTTAAAAAATTAATTTTAGGGATGATTTAAAATTCATGGCGGATTTAGGGATAACAGGTATCATAATGATAGGGATAAGGGATAACTGCCCTGACCTCTCCCCCCCAAAAAACGTAAATACCGTAATGACCTAATAAACGCCCACTTCCAAATAAACGCCTCTCATCCATATAATAAACGCCCCCTCTACGCTGTTAAAATTGCATTAGACGCCCTTCTCTAATAAACGCCCCCTCTCTCTGTATCAGTCGTCTTTCTCAATGTCAAGTTTCTAGTGGCTATTAACTATTCGTACGGGACGCGTACATCGACTTGTATTTGTTATTCATACGGGACTCTGACTAAACTGATTAAGGTTAAGCATTAGGGTTGGGGTTAAGCAACGAAAATAGTGATTAGGGCTAAGCACTGACGATATTCTGATTCCATCTTTCCCCTTTTCCCCAGAAACGCCTGATACTCAGGCTATCTGATTAGGGTTACCGTAAATCCTGTATTAAGCCCCCCGGGGGACTTATTTATTTCAAGCCCATTTAAGGGGGGCCTCAATAGAGACGAGGGGGCTTATTTGAGACGGGGGGGGCTCATTTAAGTAATACAGTCTATCATTTATTGGTGAAGAATAATTAGGGGAGGGGAGGGGGGCTTATTAACTTTCTCCCCCTGAAAAGGTAGGAAAGGGGCTTATTTGAGAGGGGGGCTTAATAGAGGATTTACGGTAAGCACTCGGCTAGCTTCTATTGAAGATTACGGTTGTTGCTATATAATTTAAAATCAAACCCACTTCACCCGCGTATACTCCGTTGTATAGTGGTTAAGACTACGAACTGTAGATTCTAAGCCCCGGTATCGATTCTTAATCTAGCCACACTGATTTTTTTTCCTTTAAAAGTTGCCTCTGAATTTTTTTCCTTTAAAATTGAACAGTGGTTTAAAGGACTTACAGGTCCTTACACTTTCATGGAAATTTGCTGACCAGAAATTTCAGGAGACTTAGAAATTTCACTTCAATTTCAAGAAGAGACTTAATCCCCTATGAATAGCAAATACACGTCGGTTTACGGGTCCCGTACGAATATTCAAATATTTAAACATATTTGAATACATGTTTGCCCCAAGAGCTCTTAAGAGCTCATCGTAAGGGCCTACACCTACACTAAACATACAACATACATATGACATCACGAGTAAATAAGATAAAAAACAAAAGCGTTTGGACTTGTTGAGCGTAAGAAAACAATTCAACGTTTTCTGCTGTTCATAAATGAGAGGAGCCAAATGAGAAAAAATTCACCTTTTGAGAGTCCGAGTATCTCGACCATTCGTCAGGAAAAATGTCAAGTTCAAAGTAATGATAGACTAACGATGACAGCACAATAACCCTGACCGAGGAACCTGCGGGTGATCGATGTTGGGATTTGAAAGAGCGATAAGGATCACTAGACGGCCTACACGTATCAATTGACGGAGTCACGATATTCCACTGTTTTCAACCTATCTTAATATTTTGCGGAAATCATATTAAGTATCCGGTGCTTAATTCTCTTTCCGGGAAGATTAAGTTTGCTTTTATTTTGCGCAATGCTGCTGTGAATTTTTCTGTTGGTCAGTTGCTCCAATAACAACAATAACAACAACAATAATCTTTATTTTTCATCCTTAATTCAAATTATTCACAAAAGAACACGGGCCCGCAGGTAGCTAGTGCCAGGGACCGCGGAGCAAGGTGAAAAGTGGGAGGGCTGACAATTGAAAATAATTTTTTCATATTAAAAATCGAAAAATTTCTAACTATGGGCTATTGCATTTAATATCCGCACCCCCCCGGTTGAGGAACCATGGAATTCTCCAGGGGTAAGTTATAAAAATTGAGGATTTCTTTAGGGGTAGATATAGAGTAAACAAATATGGAATTCTTTGGGGGTGAAGCCTTAATTTTCACAAAATTCTTCAGGGGTAAACCCAAATTCTTCAGGGGTATGACCCAATTCTTCAGGGGTAAACCCATGTTTTACGGAAGTCTTCAGGGGTGAATGCAATTTTAGCCAATCTTAAGGGGTAAGATGAAAAGGTAAGTCCTCAACCGGGGGGTACGGATTTTAAATGCAATAGCCCTATGGCCGTTCACTGTTCAAGTAATGTAATTCTTCTTGCCATCGAATATTTCATTGATTCGAAAGGAGAAAGACAAAACATAAAACTTTTATCAACTCAAAACAACTACTCACCTTTGTTTGGCTTGAAAAAGCTAGTAATAATCTTCATTTCGTCTGATAAAACTGATAAAAAACTCTGGCGGAGCTGGAAGTACAAAACACGCTGCCGAACGAAGCGAAGGGGTGGCCAAGGCAATTGCCAAGGCATGGCGTTTGATCAAGGGGCAAGTCGGCCCCAGGGCACAATTACCGCGAAAAGCACAGGAGCCCCACAAAATGCCTGGCGTTTGAAATTAAAGAAAATACAGAGAATGTAGCGGAATATAGATGGAAAAAAACTTGTTTCAAGTTTTTTTTTTAATTGTAATTATTTTTCTTTTTAGCGCAAAAAGTGGGGGCGGAGGCGCAAAAAAGTGGTGGGGCCGCGGCCCTACCAGCCCCTCCCCCTCCGCGGTCCCTGAGTGCTTTGCATTGTGCTTTGTCAAGGACAAATAATTATTGTAATCTTTTAAAAATCCTGATAATTTGGTTAAAAAGCTCTGTATACAGCTGTTTATAGTTGATTCATCAGCATGGGCTTCTGTCATCAGCCCTCACACGGCCTACATGGTTTCCGGCCGTACCGAATTGAACGCAATAGTTGTCTTTCTTCACCTCGCTTTGCAAGAGCGATTAAGTTGATTAAGTTAAGTTAAGTTAAGTTGATTGATTTAAAAGTTTTACAAAAGCGGCTAAGCCTTGCCTAGAACCAGACCTGGCTTAGAACGGCGCGTTTTAAGGAGACACCCCGGGGGTACTCCCTTATATAAGCCATAAAGGTATGTGCTGCCCCCAAAGGGTATGGTTTCTGCGCCGTTTGGTCTGAATGACGGGTATAGACTTTGCCCATTTTGGTATGGTTTTCGAGGGAACTACTTTATCGTTTCAATTCGCCTCTGAATAAGAAAGTAGAGAAATATGCGAATTCTAAATCTTTTCTGTTGGCGTTCTAATGTAAACCTAGGAGTACCTCCCCCCCCCCCCCGGGGGGGAGCAGAGAGAACAGAGTCTTTACGTTTCCGGTATGCCAAAGCCTAACTTGATAGCGAGGCCTAGAGAACACACGGAGGAATGAAGTGATTAGTCTATGTCTTACTATCAAAAGACCTCGAATAAAGTTTAATCGCTACCTCTTGCGTGCACCAACTTAGAAGAATCTCAAATCCATCCTTTCTGATGATGCAGTGGTCCGAGCCGACTAGCTCCGCCCTCCAATTCGCCCCGTTGGGCTTTACGTGGGCGGTTGTCGGCGGCCGTAAAGCTTGTTAACTCCGCCCTTTCACCCCTGATAGAGGCCAAAGTTAATCAAATAGTAAGCATTTCAATCAATGAAACTGTGCAAAACATCTGCCGAAGAGGTTTCATTTGAATGGTAACTCCTTCGGATATCGTTGGCAGATTTAAAAGTTAATGACAAATCATTGAAACGTATTTGTTTTGTTATCTGTTTTAAAGTTTTAATTTCCTTGTGACTGATTTCATTTGGATGTTCACTAATTTGCTCTCGAAAAGAACTTGAGGGTCTAAGTTCTGTTATTTCAGTAACTGTCTGTTGCCCGGGGAGGGTACTCGACCAATATTTGGGTAGAGGTGTGTCGCTGAGGGTTTGATACCCTGACCCTGTTTAGGTCTAAAGAAACTTTTAAAAATACATATCCTGTTTAGGACAACACCCTCAATTTGTTTACCCTATTCAGGACAAAGGATGCACGCCGTCTTGTTTCAAAGCAATTTATCGACAACTGCAACAGAGCAAATTCACGTTATAGTCATCGCTTTGGTATACAAAAGTCATTCAGGAAATCAAATCGATCGTGCAGGAAATACCCTCAAGAACAGGCTCACACGAAATTATATACCCTGTGTAGGACAGAGCGAAATTATATACCCTGTTTATGACAGAGCTGAGAGGTCAAAAATCATACCTTGTCCAGCGGCACATCCCTTTATAGGCCAAATAAGGAAGTATCCCCTGGGGCTTGTTGACTGATTCACAAGAAGCAGGTCACGTTCTTTATGTTTACTAAGAGATCTCTTTTTTTGTTATCTTTTCTTATGTTTTCGAAGAGAATTGTTTTTCGTTCAAGGTAGCCTACGAGCAAGCTCTCTATTTGGGGCAGTCGCGAGAAGTCGCACGAGAGCAGCACGCGAAACTGATGATGCGAGTACGTGGGGCGGCTGGCTCGCTTCGCTCGCCTTAAATGGAGAGCTTGCTAGCAGGCTATATGATCAAGGGATCATATTCACCAGTTTTCTAAAAATAAAAGATGATGAAAGAATGAAAGATGGTAAATTTTGCTGATTGCTGATCCTTGTATGCGTGACGCTTTTCAAATATGAACCTAGTAACTATATGGCCCCGCTGTCCATGAGTTCTCCGTAGCTCAAGTGGATAGAGCGCCCGCCCGGTGTTTGGGAGGTCATAGGTCCGAATCAGGGGCTCCTGGTTCGAATTCTGTCGTAAACTCAGACTTTTTTTCTTTGTCCCACGCTCGTGACATGGTGATTAATTCATTTTTCACATAAAAGATATTTTAGGTCTATATTTTGTTGAGTTCCTGTCAGTGGTTTTGAATGTGACTTGACTTTCATGGCTCAATTCCCCGGAAGGTAACCCTGGGAATTCTTGTGGGAGCTTGCCGCAAGGTTATAGGCCTATATAAGACTCGTTAAGACTTTTGTTCTTGGGCCATCGTAGCTTGATAAGAAATAGAACACAAAGGGCGATGATAAACATATTCAACTTACTCATTCTTATAAACTTGACGTTCCGTATGAGTTGAGTCAGCACACGAGACGTCAAGTTTATACAAATGAGTAAGTTTAATATGTTTATCACCATTGTTTGTGTTCTGTTTCTTACCTGACCAATATTTGGGTATTGGTGAGCCGCTGAGGACTTGAAACCCTGACTCTGCTTTGGACAAAAAAATCCTAAAATATATACCCTATTTGAGAGAGACTCGCCAAAAAAAACCTTAGCCTGTCGCCCCCCCCCCCCCAATTGTCCCGTGAATTTCAACTTTCTTCTTGTTACACTTCTTTGAATACTCAGTTTAAAGCCTCAAAGGATGTTGGCAACATCGATACCGGTATGCTGTAGCAAGCCTTTTAAGTTCTAAAGTGTTGACATTGTTTCTTGTAATTTAGTTATCTGATGCCGTGGAGTCCCTGAAGACACATAAGCAAGAGGATCATGAAGGTAATTTAACCCGTGGGAGTCTGGCTTGGGGAATGTTACTTTGTAGTAACCCCAGGTGGCCGTCATTTTTCCAAAGTCCCTGTGATAACCGAGTGCATAAACGTATTCAGTTTGCTGTGTGTACATTCAAGGTCGAGGTTTTCTTAGTTTTTAGAGCCGTTCCATAGAAGTATTAGTCAACCAAACCAAAAAAACTGGATCTTTATGGGCTCATATTACATTCCCTCTTCCGCACAACAGCCACCAAGCAAGCATTATTCAATAATACCATAATACTCTTGGTTTCCATCCGAAATTTTACATGTATCAAGACCGGGATACATTTGATTTTAGTCAAGGTCATGTGACCAAGAATCAACCAATGGCAGTCCCTGTTTAGTTGCGTGAAAGTCTAGGGATGTAACAATTCTTGGGTTGCACGTGACGTCACCAAAAATCAAACTAAGAAACTATCGATTCTTCTGAGTTTCTACTTTCACGAGGTATTACAGCACCTAAACATCTTTACATAATCAAGTTTTTGGTTCGAAAGGGTTCTTCGTTTTGCGAGAGAGGACGCTTGAATTTCCAGGCTTTTGCGTGACGCGGCATTTAGCTGGCGGCCGGGAAAGCTCTTATGTGGGTTAAAAACATAACCGATTTTGGGAGATTTTGCAATCTAAACATTCCTTGTCTCAGAATAAATATTACTGTAATCTTTATGAGTTCCTCAAGCGAAGAATTCACGCATTAGTAGGAAAACTCGAAAACAGATGTTTCTGTTGGTATCCGGCGGCCATATTGGTGTTCCTGAAAGGGACACCAACATGGCGTTTCCATACAAAGCTTTATAAATTTAGGTAAACCTTTTTCCCCAATATCTCGCATTTGAAATATTTCACAGACCTAATTCTTGGCAAGGGTTTTTGTATATTTATCTTTTTTCATTTCCCAGATTCTAGTCCTTCTATATTGAATGGTTTGCATTTTTATTTTTCATTGCGTGACAGTGCAAGCCGAGAATATAATTTATGAATTGACAAAAGGCAAATTTCCTGGAGAACATCGCGTGGCCTGAATTGTGAAAACAAAACATACAGTTTAAAAAGGTCTATCAGTTAATTTTAAATTATTATTTGTTACCTATTGTTTTTTCTTTTGAAGGTGTGAAGGCCCTTTCAGAGTTCCACACTCATTTTGTCGACTCACTTCAATCAATAACTCGCAAGTGTGTGGCCAAGAGAGACACGCTCATGAAAAAGCTGCTTGAGGCTAAGGACAATGGGATGAACAAAACTACTGCTTCGACGGCAGATAACACGTCTTTAAATTCGCCTAAACATGGACAAAGTGAAGTGTCGTAAACGAAAGCCAATGTAATAACTCTGGCCAATCACAGCACGAGCTCACAATCAAGTGAACCAATCATACTTGGAGGCATGTAGCCGACCTCAAGCGCGGGACAACTCGGGTCAGCAGATCACGACTGGTTTTGATGTTTTTTTTGATTGGCTGTGAAACTCACGCGAGTTTTGTTCAGCCAATCACAACGCAGAAGCAATGTAATTGCGAACAGCAGGCTGATTAAAAAAACGCGATACGGCAGCTGCTTCCAACAGAAAGCTAGTCCTTATCGTGTTGCGTTTCTGTTTAGATTCACGACTAGAATGCTCTCCCCTCCTCAAGAGCCTTAAGTCGTAGCACGATGGGTTTCACAGGACGCATTTTGACTTTCCAGATCATCTTTTCACTTGGTCCCGGATTAAAAAGGCCCTTTTTGAGCATCAGGTAAACAGTTTTCGTAAGAAATGGTTAACGCGCAGCGTACAACCATCGAGGTATGGAAGCACGTGGAAGGTTTGCGAAGTACCAAAAAAATCGCGGGTGTTGCCCGAGGCAACAGGACCAACGGAAAAGGAGCAGAAAAAAAACCGAAGGGGGAGGGTATAGGCGGTCTCTGTTGTCATCCGGTAAAATCTGGTTAAACCAGAATTTCGTTTGTCTTCTATTAAATAATGTTATTAGGGCAGGGAAACAAGAAAATTTCGAATCAAACTAGGTTGAATACTGAATTAAAGTGAGAACGAATTTTACCTACAACATTTCCTTTTTTCCATCTCTTTTGATCCCTTTTCGCCCCGCTATCCATCTCGCGCCACTGTCCACCGCCTGATTGCCTGGAACAGGCTACCCAGCCTTTTTTAATAAAGACAAGCTAATGGTTGCTGTACAGTGTGAAGGTAACAATTTTAAGAAGCTTGGTATCTTTGGGACTAAACGAACTGTTCGTAAGAGAGAGGCGTGCATGATGGGGGTGTCTTTAAGGATTGGCTCGCCTGAATTTCCTTAAATCTTGCTTGAAAAAAGAACCCGAAGTTGGGGGGTGGGGGTGGTTTTCCTGGGAGTTCTTCGTGGGGGTGTGCAGCCCGGTTCTCCAACTCCTGACCCTATTCCAGACCAAAAAGTTTCATTTTCCACCCCCGTTTTTAGACCTGGCCTTTTAGAAATTATGTCATCATAGGATCATTACTTAAATTAGAGAATCAACATAAAGATTTTTTAAGATCCCATGCGAATTCGCATAATCTCTTTCTTTCTTACTCATGTGGAATCATGTGGTATTGAAAATCCCCATGGGTGAAGAGTGAGGAGAAAAGGATGTTTTCGCAGGCTACGTTCATAAACTCGCGTAGTTTTCACGAAAACCACACCCGATTCCAGACCAAAATACACTCTTTTTTTTCTATAAGAACATATTTTGTAAGAATATTGAGGCTCAAATTTGTGAAATTTTAAGAATATTTTAAAAATATACCCGACGTAGAGCGTTTGAAAAGGACGCAATTTTGTATGTTGAAAGTCTGTAAATAGCTGTAAATACAGTACACTGTATGTTTTTTGGCTGAACCATATAAAATTATTCCTTTCCCTAAATGGCGCTAAGATGGAAGCGAAAAAGGGAGAGAGCTGATCTAAAATCTCCTCTCCCCTAGCCCCTTAGGAAGGCCTTATACTCAGGTTACTTGAGACAAATCTAGACAGAGAACACTGGCAATTGAAACCCCAATACAAATCTTAAGTGAAAATGCTATAAGCTATAATTTATAATTAAGAATAATTTAAGAATATTTTCAGCCCAAAATTGACAGAAAAATAAGAATAGCCTGGGACGGAAAAACAACATTCTTATATAAAAAAGTGTAGGCAAAGTCTATACCCGTTTTCAGACCAAAACGGCGCAAAAACCATACCCTTTGGGGCGGCACATAACTATATGGCTTATATACAGAGTTTGCACGCACCTTGAAAAGTTCTTTTATTTTAAAGTAAAAATTCAAAGTCCTTGAAAATTGCTGTCGGTGCTGAAAAGTCCTTGAATTTCAATGTTAACCTATAGTTTAACTTGAACTCCAAAGAGAAAGGAGCAAACACAGAAAGACCTTGTAAAACTAACAGGACCCGAGTAATCGGCTCCTGAAAGTACTCACGTTGTGGCAAACCTAACAAATACATAGACTCCATGCGCTTTGTTGCACTGATGGAGTCCTTGACTGAATGGGAAATGTGTCCTTTAAATTACTTGAATTTTTTGTTCAGAAAAGGGTACAAACCCCGTATATAACTGAGTAACCCCCCCCCCCCCCCCCCCCCCCCGGGGGGGGGGGAAGACAGCCCAATCAGAGTTATTCAAGCGCGCCCTTGATTTTTGAGATAAGGGGGGGGGTGGTTGGAGAAGTATAGTGTTCTGGTTTTCTTTTCTCTGGGTGTGGTGTTTTTTGTTTTGTTGTTGGAAGGA